TTTTGCAGATTGCCTGATCACACTCTTTTCAACAAGCTGGGCAATCCCTGAATATGATAACTTGGTCAATCAATGTTCAAACGTCTCACTATTACACCCACCACATACCCAATCGGCGCAAGAGATTCTAAAATCTGCTGTATTGCTGGCAAATCTCAGGCCTTGTATGGTCATACAAAGTGGAGATGTTCCGATACTTGGACTGTTTGAAACTAATTGTTTAGGGAAAGCTTTAAAGAGATGGTGGCCATAAGGACCTGACTGTTGGCCAACCAGCTCTGGAGTCTGTGTTACTGGATTTGGGCCAGTCAAGCTGTACCTGCGGGTACAGTTTAGTTGGCATGTTCCTTGTACCTTAGTACTATTGCTAATAAAGCCATTTATTGTACAGTACTCATGCAGTTTGACTGACCTGATCACACTAACATCAGGGAGAGATCGAAGCCATGTTGGGTCTGGTCATTTGGAAGACCAAAAATAGACAAAAGAGAGAGCCGTCCAAAATAAAAGGCAGTGAATTAGACAGGCCAGGTGTATATGTGTAGCACCTTTTAACAAGTGTATAATAATGCTTTGCATTGCAGATCTTTCATGTTTTTAAAGACTATTCTTTAATGAGTCCAAAGTGTTAAATATCAGGAAACCTGCGTCATAAGCACGAGAGATTGAGATCTTCCATGGTTGCACTGTCTGGCTGGGTTTGAAAGATGCCCTTACAGTATAGAATTTCCTATGGAATGTCTCCGGTTGGTTATAGAGTCTCCAGTTAAGTCTGTTTCTGTCTTTCTGGGCTGAAAGCAGTATTGCAAAATACATCTTCTCCGAGGAGCAGGAAATACCATGAGATATTTGATCCCTGACGTCTCCTGCATGATCTCTGTTTTGCTTGCTGTCCCAGAATAAAAAATTAGCGTGACACTTTGGAAATGGCTGTGTCTAGCTGGTGCCATAATTATTTGGAACAGGTTTTTGTAGGCTGTGTAATTTTACAGAGCAAAGTATGAAGACAGCTAGAATGATATCTAGAAGAGTGTCTACCGTAGTCAAGTTAAACACAATTGCAGTTTTTGGACTAATACAAAAATAAAGGGGGAAAAAACACTTCTGGTTCAGTGACTGAGGAATTGATTGCAAATGGAGGAGGAGAAGGAACTGTAGATATTGATATTAATGTATTTCTTTTATTTGCATCACTTACTCTAAATTCTTATAGACATTCTGAAACTGAGTTATCATTCCCCCTGCACGTTTTATTTTTTTGGGTTCCCCTTTGGTGAGCAGATGTTAAAGATGTATAGCCTTTTCTTTTTTTTCTGAATAGTTTAAGAAAGGATTCAATGTCCTGTTACATTATTTTTTGTTTTGTTTGTCCTGTTGCAGAGATTTATTTTCACTTTCTGTCCTAACATGACCTATGCAGTTGTTCTGTACTGCTATTGGCAAAAACCCAAGTGCCAAGTGCTTGCTAGCCCCCTGTGTGATTGCATTAACATTAAAGTGACATTAAACTCAGGAGTTAAATCTTAAAAATGCATTCAAGTACCTTAACTATTAACAAAAATGTATCTTATTTGTGTATCACTCGGCTGTAGATCCTCCAATCATCTCTGAATTGGTGCTGACACTGTCCTTCCTTCTGGAGGGGGGCTACTTTTGTGTCCCATGGTCCCTGTGTGTGTGTGTTTTAAAGTAATCACTTCTCCAAGCTCGTTCCTGCGATGGACTACTATATCACGTTTAGTTTACTATTTGGTATTGAGATTGTAGTCCATCACGGGAGTGAGCTTGGAGCGGTGACTACTTTACAACACACAGGGACCATGGGGAACAAAAGCAGCCCCCCTCCAGAAGGAAGGACAGTGTTGGCACCAATTCAGAGATGATTTGAAGATCTACAGCTGAGTGATGCACAAAAAAAGTTCAGTTTTATTTTAAAAATGTAACTCCTGAGTTTAGTGCCACTTTAAGAGGCCGCACATCAATATGTCTGAGCAGAGTATCTGCAGGCAACAGCACTAATGCAAAGGAGAACACTGCAGCTAAAGCTGCAATTATTATTTCCAATAAATTCCAAGGCTTATTAGTATTTTATAAGGTATAAAAGTTTGATTTCTGCTTTACCCGGTGTACAGTTGTTTATTTTCAGACATTGTTTTAGTGTGCTTTTGTGTATTGTTTTCTCTCTACTTGTACTCATGCTACAAGTTGTAAGTGGCATATGTAGTTGCCAAGTTATTGTATATTTTTTCATGGGATTTGGATTTGCATTTGCCTGTAAGAATTCGATATAATCAATGGTAATATGGGACCTAGAATTGGCTAGAAATTCAGGATAGGAACGTGCGTTTGTGTGGGCCGGTGATTTCTGCTAGAGGAACACAAACTTCCTTGAGGAAGTGATGTGACACAAGGGAGGACATTCCTCATGCAGGAAGCCGCAAAGGAAATGGCAATTAAGTGTGTGAGAGAGCTTGTTGTGCTAATATCCACACTTCATATCATGCTAAATATGGAAAGTGTGAATTGCAGCGCACACACATGACACGCTTTGATTGGAAAGGAAATCCACTTGTAATATTTTTACCATAGTTTGTAAAATGTCTTACACTACCTGCCAGTGTCTAAAATCACTCCTGAATGAAAGAATTACACGAGTGCTGGGTTTTGACATGTAGCTCTAAACTTTAGTGTGATCATTCAGATTTTTTAGTTTGTCTGCGAAAAAGCCAATCAAGCAATCCCTGTAAATATTCCGTACTGGAGCGTTATCTGCTCAATTCTATTTCTTTGGAATGCCGTCAGTGGGATCTCCCTATTGCAAATCACAGCCCAGTCTCCTCCCTTACAGCAGTTTTTGAAGTCAAGTAAGGTTACCTCACTCATCCTGTTGCATTATATATTCATACAATTAAAGTCAAACAATTTTTTGGATGGAGTGAGAAAATAACTTTTGTCAGATTTTTTTGTTCTTTATTGCTGTGATCAAAACCTGACAGAGATTCCAACTAAAAAAAGAGTGCATGTTGCTTTCTCTTTCTTCAATTTGAGAGGTGTGCTATTGCTTTCTGTCCCTCTGACCCTGGAAGAGGAAGTGAAGGGAAACAAAGTGTTGCAGAATGACATTTTAATTGAAGAATGAGCAATAATAGAATATTAATACACTATTACAGGTATATTCACAAATCATAGAAGCTCGGCCAACAAAACTTAAAAGAGAACTATGGGGTACGTGTTTTTCCCCATAGTTCTCTTAAGGGTCACAGGAGGACATATACTAGCCTCCTTCCGTGACCCAAAGCTCAGTATATAGCGAGCTACAGCTTGCGGTATACTGAGAGCGCCGCAGCCGGGACGGATCCCGACATTACTATCAAGATCCACCCAACTGCGTGAGTGACAGCTGGCTCTGCCTATCTAGAGGCAGAGCCAGTTGTACCGGCCCCCTCCCCCGTTTGTTCCGCCAGTCAGCGCTGGAGGATCAGAGCAGGGAGGGGGGGGGGGAATCTCTGCAGGCAGCGGTGACTGACAGTCACCGCTCTCTGCAGGGAGATGATTGAGAAGAAAGCGAGCAACGGTATGTGTTCACTCACCTTCCGATGTATTGTGCCGACTTGTGACAGTTTCATTGTCACACGTCGGCTCGAACTATGAGGTTGGGTGATTTTCACTCACCTAATTGTTCTCCTTTAAGCGCTAGAAAGTCTGTTATTTAAGGAGCACTTTGACTTTGTGGGAGTATTGGAAGCCTGGTTGGACAGGGCAGCTGAATGTGCTACTAATATTTAGGGGTGGACTCTATGACTTTATTTTGGAGGGACAGAATTGGTAGAAGTGGTAGAGGGGTATTCCTGAATGAGAAGAGTGATCTGAAAGTAAAAATGTAATTATATCACTAACAAGAATTGTGCTGGTGTAGAGTCACCGTGGCTGGAGCTTCAAATGAGTGCAAAAAGTAAATTTCTTGTAAGAGTAGGTTAATTGGCCCCTACCATGAAGGATGAGGAAGAATTTAGGCTCCTTTAACAGGCTGAAATAGCTGGGAAACTGGGCAATGTTCTTATTATGGGTGACTTCAGTTATCTTATTATTGATTAGGCAAATTAAACTGCACATTCAACAAAAGCTTGTCATTTCTTGAACTTATCGCAGGACAATTTCATGAGCCATCTCATTACAGAAGTGCAAGCCAGAGACGGCTTAGGTAATGGTGTATTCGCATTTGCCGTAAGTTACAGGAAAGAGAGGTATATTGGTATGAGACGAATGTTAAATTTAATAAAGGCCAATTTCAATGGACTTGGTTGTGGTTAATGCACCTATAATCTGTTTATCTAGTCTGCGTTTTTCAAACTGATCTTGAAATTCGTATTAAATAGGTTTGATATGATGGCAATAGAGGAAGATATTAAAATAAACAGTACACCTTTATTTGGGTTAAAGACACAGAATCAACAATGGCCTGCCTGCTTGATGTGATGGACTTGAAGTTGTACTGTAGTAGTATCCCAATACTGCTGGTAAAAATCTTGCATGTTTCGCTATTCTCAGAAATATGTATGGACTTTAAATTGGAAATATAATGTGACCAAATTTAATTGCTGGAGTCTAGACACATAATTCCAGACTGTCCTCTGCTTCACAGAGCAGAGCTGTTGTATACTTTGCATTCTTTGTAATAGCTGGTAATTCTAAAGCTGCAGGCATTTTACATGATCTTCATTGCAGCTCTTCTTCCAGTCATAGAAAAAGGACTTGCTTACTGGCCAAACATTTGCTGTTTTCTGCAGCAACAATTACCATCAAGCGTTTTCCTCCTGCTGTGACAAAAGTTCTGGCAGCAGTTTAGAAGTGACCTGTAGAAAATTGTTTTGTCTTCTTATATCTGATGCTGCTGTCTTCAGAACAATATAATGAAAGCATTTAAAAATATCAAAGCTGAACTTAAAGAAGCAAAAAAAATATATATATAAATATATATTCATCACCTTCACCTTTTGCAGAGTCCTCTCCTACTCTGTGGGACATTGAACTAGCCAAGGCAATTGCAGCTGCCTGTGAACATCCACCAAGAAATGGCTTTGAGGAGATGATCCAGTGGACCAATGAAGGAAAACTGTGGACGTTCCCTATTAACAATGAAGCTGGTGAGCAGACGTGCCTAATTTAACTTTCCATCTTGACAAAATAATTTGTAGTAGATTATGTTTTTGTGACCATATTGAAATACTTTGATTCAATGCTGTTTATAAAACTTTTAAAATGGGGTTATTGCCAAAAGCAAAAATTTGTATGCCTGTATTGTTTTGTTGTTCTCGGCAATGAAAGTTGGGATCAGGTCACTATGGGCCACACAGTCACTGGTTTCTGTCGTATAAATGGGACCCATTTTCATTGCTTTATGGTCTGGATTCTGAAGGTGATGTTGGTTAAACTTAATACCTCTCTCAACAAGGTGAAGGCTCCCCACTCACCTATTACATTCTTAACACAACCTCCTTCTTCATATTAACCAAATGTGATTTAAATAAAACATTTGGAAATGCATTTAAAGGGAATATTCATTTTACATAGGTTGAAAAAAAGATGCCAGTCCATTGGATTAAAGCGGACCTTTACCCATTTCTTTAAAATAACAAAAACACCCTCCTCTCTCAACCAGTGCCCATCACCAAGATGGCCGCCGGCAGTTAACAGAGGTACTGCTCGTGATCACGCACGTTTCTCACGTCACGTGGGTACGCGATGACATCATGGCGGGGTGTCACCCGGAACCTGCAGGTGTCACCTCGCCTGGGGACACCTTTGCTCATATGACCCCTTAATCACCTCAACGAAGAACAGATTCATTGTGTTCATTGTGATTTACTTTAGCTCGTGAATCACAATGAACACAAGTACTTTCTTCTGGTGTTTCTTTGTTAACATATGCAAGTGCTAATATGTCAACTGTGTTGACAAATTTTGGTATGTCTTCTGGAACAAGGATGTGGAAAGAGTACCGATGGCGTGTGGAGTTCACAAATCCATAGGCAATCCGTATCCATATCCAAATGTTTAGACGTCAGAACAAGGGAAGAGTGTTTAATGGTTGGTATTGACAGCATTACTTTATACATTGCTCTTTGCCTTCCTATACGTGCATTGCCGGAGAACCCCAGGGCATGAATAAGAGACAGTTCTACCCTCCTCCTCTCCCATCACCATTTCAGGTGATCTTTTCAGCTACTAAAGTGTTCTGTATTTGCAAGGAGACTAACAAATGTATACCAATTCTGGCTGAGCTGTATGCTACATTCTCAGAACCATGTCACTCTGTAAACTGTTATGTACTCTATGGCGGCCCACTCTGTTTTCTACACTGTACATGATATATTCCAGTTTACTCCATTTCATTCACAATTTAGTAAGTGACATACTCCAGACCAGTCACTCTGTACACTATGCTGTACATGACATACTCTGGACGGTCCTATTCTGTACACTATGCAGTGTGTTGCATACTCACACTACAATCACCTCAACCCGCATTGTGCTGTATGGTATATACTCCATACCACTAAACATCACAGTATTGTCATATGAATTGACAGCATCCATTTGTAGCTCTAAGATTTCTGAATCCCACCCAGTTCAATAAAACAGCCCACATTTGCCACTGGCTTATAGTGACCTTGTCACTCCTCATCCAACCAGTGAGCCCCTGGTATTCATTCAAAAAAATACTAGGAATTCACTGAATAACCGCTGTGCCGAGCGAGCCACCCCCTGTGCTTTAACAGCACATAGTTTGTTACTGGACCCAGAAGATCTCTGTAAGACGTTGTTGTAGCTGCAGTTGCTACAGTGTTTTACAGGACCCCCATGGCTCTGCTTGACCAGTGTGGTATATATAAACTTCTATAGCTGGAATTCAGCTGAAAGATTCAGAGGTTTTAAAGATCTATAGCATTGACGGAAGCACATTCATTTTGATGACTTCTACCTTGCTAGGTAAAGCTAGCAAGGAGGAGGAAGTAGTTCAATTATATTTGTCTGCTGGATTGTCAACTGTAAAGATACCTAGATATTTAAGGGCAAGCACTGAAAGAGGAACAGGCATTACACACACTTGTGGCCCTTTGTGGGGTGATTGTTACATTCAAAATGGTCTAAATTATTCACTAAAATTGGAAATTTAGTTTAACCACTTGAAGACCGCGGTGTTTACACCCCCTTCTTGGCCAGGCTATTTTTCAGTATTCAGCGCTGCGGTACTTTGACTGACACTTATTCAGTCATGCAATGCTGTACTGTAATTAATTTTATACCATTTTTTGGGGACTTATAGAGCTTTCTTTTGGTGGTATTTAATCACCACTGGGGTTTTTTATTTTTTACTATATTTAAGAAAAAGGGAAATATGCAAGAATGTAAATGTGAACATTACAGGAAAAATTAAAATGTGTTCATTAAAATAGCTCAAGACATACTCATTTATAAAGTTCCTATATCCAGTTATGGAAGTCCATGCTTAACAAAATTGTGATGGACCCAAAATTTTAAGACATGGTGGAAATGAGATACATGGAGTGAGAAGTTTGTCAATTGTAACAAAATGTATTTTCAAGGGGAAAAAAAGCATAAAGGTCAGAAGTTGACCCAAAGATGATTGGAATAAGAATTTTATAATGGAGAATAAACTAAATAGCAAGATGAAGACAAAACAAACGCTTCAGCCTTCTAGAGTTTCTGGAGCAATACAGCTGTATATCCAAGCCAGGGTTTTCATGTCTTATGAAGCTGGTTGTGTCTATCCTATAGAAGCCTAGAAAGCTTTTCATTAATCATAATTCATTCTGATGTGCATTATAAGACAGTTTGATAAATGAGACTCTTTGAGTGTTGTCAGGAGTTTTCTTGAACGGTATTCAGGGAGCATTTTTCTTACAGCTGAACAGGTGAGTCATAAGTTCCAGTTCTGCACGTCTCTGCATTCCCAGGACACTGCCACAGAGTGCTGTCCTTCACAACATTATTTTGCTCTGCGGACTATGGAGAAAGAAAAGATCAGTGAGACCAGAAAATCATAGAGGACACAATAATCATCAGGAATGTGTGTGTGGCTGTTTATTACATCCATTCTCTCGGAGCAGCAGGGATCATACAGGGTATAAAGCGAGTTCTAGGTCAGTGGTCCACATCCAATTACCAGCATGTCAGAAGGCTCATTTGCAGGCTGTGCCAATTGGCTCTTGAAAGCTCTGAGAAAGGCTGAGCCTGGGGAGCGCCTTGGTGGGAGACAGCGCAGCAAACAAGAGAGAATAATATGACGTGAAAGTTCCTCGGCAAGTGACAACAATACAAGAAATTAAAGTAACAAGCAGACTGAAAAGCTTTCCGATCAAATAAATGCGGTTTTATTTCCACTGGGAGCACTGAAAAGAAAATCTGTCCACTTCTGGAGTCTAGAGTTGGCCTGCCTGTTGATTTTAGTCTTGCCAGACAATTCAGTGGACAGTGGTTGTGCCTGCTACACTTGAGGTTTGGAGGTCTACATTGAGATTGGTTGGAATCCTGTAGTCAGGCAACTGATTACTGCAAACTATTTCTAATACACAGATGCTTCTTATTCTAGAGGTAACAATATGAAGCAGAAAAATCCCCAGCACAGCATCATTAGTGAGTGAAGCTATGTGAAAGCTGGAGGAGACACAAGCCTCGGAAATTGGTGTAGGAAGTGGTGGTTACAAGTAAATGAATTAGTAAGAATCTTGATCTTGTCTTTGAAACTGCAGTTGTAATGACTCATTATTGATCACGTATCTATACAATTGCTAAAGTGAAACTGCATGCATATATTAAACATCTCCAAGTCCAGCTACATATTTATTAAAAATCATTAGATGTGTTTTAAACCTATGTCTTGTTAGTAAATTCCAATAACCCTTTGCATACTGGAAAGTAGGCTAAGGGTGGGTGGCAACTTAGTGTGACACAGTCTTTAGGAGTTGTAGCATGTGGCTTTGTAAAGACTAGATCTCCCAGTATGGCTTTGCTGCGGCTTAGAGATTAGAAGATCACTTCTTGTCTTTCTTAATATTGTAAAATAAAACAAAACTGTTCCACACTGCTTAAAAAATGACTAATCAGGCAAAAAAAAATGTTGATTTTACCCCTACAATAGAGAGAAACACTTTGGTAACTGGTCTGTCCTGGACTTGTATAAAAGGTATTACCTGAAATCCCCATTCCTGTGATAGATAACTCTCCTTTACCCTCAGAACTTAGTTCATTTTAGGGTAAAACTGCACTTTTATGTTCGTAGTCTCTCCTGGAATATTGGAGTTATGGCAAATGAATGCTATGGGTCTCGATCTACTCATTCATGATAGTCAAGTGAACAATGTGACACTGGCTGGGTCTCACCCTTGGGGCCTGACTCAATGTCACTTAGTGCAGTTTTAAAAAAATGTTTTCACTGGTCCCATGTTCTTCATACACGGAGGTTCCATATATTCTTTTGTTCCCCTAGCAACTGAATTTAGTGACCGGTGAACAAAGGACAGTTACGTGCTGCTGAAGAGGAAGCATTAAAGTGAACCTGTTGGTTTTTTCCTGCTTGGGCAAAGTAGAGTTCAACTATAAGGGGAGAAATGATTGGTTAAAGGAGAACTATGGGGTTAGGGCTTTTCCCCATAGTTCTCCTTAGGATAACGGGAGGACACAAACTAGCGTCCTCCCATCACCCTAAGCTCAGTAGCTTGCGGTATACTGAGACGCCGCTGCTGAAGCGGATCCCGACAATTATGTCTGGATCCGCTCAGCTGCGTGAGTGACAGCTGGCTCTGCCTATCTAGAGGCAGAGCCAGCTGTACCCGCCCCCTCCCCCGTCCATTCCGCCAGTCAGCGCTGGAGGATCGGAGCGGGGAGGGGGGGAACCCAGCCACTCCCCTGTCACGGCAAAGAGCCGTGACAGGATCGAGAAGTGAGCGAACGCCGGTATGTGTTCGCTCACTTCCCGATCTACTGAGCCGACCTGTGACAGTCTCATTGTCACAGGTCGGCTAGAACTATGAGGATGAGTGAAAAGCACTCACCTCATAGTTCTCCTTAAGTTTGTCACGTTTATACATATTTGTGGTTACAAAAAATCATTTTAAAATAGGTAAACATTGGTTCTCCCCGGAATGTCATGCTTAAACTCCAAATATTCAGCAATTGTGCTTTATAGTATAAGTTACATAGAGACTCCAAGGAGAAGAACCCATATCCTATATAGACCAAATATCATGAACCAAATTAAGCAAAGGCCGCATAGCTCAAACTAAAATATTGCAGTAATCGTCTCAAAGCTAAGGCATTTATAGAATACAGAATAGAAAACCTTAATGGTCATTGTATAACACATGCAACAACATTTTACAATGCCACTTCTACGGCTAGGTTCACACCTGCATGACACCCAGGACAATGCAGGCAACGATTGCCGCGCGGCCCCATTGATTTCAATGGGGTGACATCCGTACGGCTATCGCAGAACAAAGGTACAAGTACCTCTTTTTTGCAATACATGACACACGGCTGTGTTCGGAAGCACGGGCGGAATTGCGGCGGTAAACCGCACGATCTGCCCGGCGCGACTGGGGTGCCATTAGAAAATAATGGCACCCACAGCACGATCGGTTCACACCTTGGCAACCCCTGACCGTGCGGAATCTTGCACGATTTCCGCGTGGTGAGGTGTCGTCTAGGTGTGAACCTAGCTTAAAAGCAATGCCCTATACACATAAATACAATATAACAGCCCACTAAAATGCCATCACATCTCGCATAATAAAATATATCAAGTACATTAATAACCAGTATAATATAGTTACAATATCACAATACCTTTAAAATACAATAATATGTAATACCATTTAACCCTTTTTTATCCTCTCACTATTACATGAATCCCTCACGACTGTTAATGCATTATATTATCTATTTGTGGATTAGGTGAACTTAGGAAAAGCAACTATCTCTGTATCTGTCTGGATGTTCCTAACTTAATATTCCTGTAACTTCTTGTCATGCTTGCACTGGTGGGAATGTATAAAGATAACCTTTAAGTAAGAGAGAATCTCTTAGCTAAGCAAAGTGTGAGTGTCTGCTCTGTCACTCAGTGAACACATGGATTGAGTTCTTCCAAATTCTACACACTTCAATAAATAAGCCAACATCTTGGCTCTCATGTTTTTTTTTGCTAGCTCCATACGTTGAATGTCATATCTCAAGAGGTTTTTACAGTACATAACTTATGTCTCTGCAGCAGATTTACTTAATGGCCAACATGGATTCTTAAACTGTCTTCAGTAATTCTTTAGATTGCTTTCCTATTTCTTTACCATTTTTGCTCTTTCATTCTCATGGTACTTCTCATAATTGCAAGATTTGTTTTGCATTGCCCATAGGGGAAGTATGGCTTGGGTTACTAGCCTTTAAAGTATTAAGGAAGCCTATACTGAGAATATATGGAGGCTAACAATGCTGACCTCTCCTGAACATGCTAGTTCCCGGGCTGTCTTGGTGATCTAGTGGCTTACTGAAGTCCGCTATCTAGATTTGCTACAAATTCAAAATGTGTCAACTAGAACTTGTACTGCAAGTGTTCTGCAAGTCTACAATTTGCCAGGAATATGTGCATCAAGTTAACAAGAATCACAGTTTAACCCTGCCACAAGTTTGTGGCAAGTTATCCTTCCTATCTGGGGTGGCACTGCAGCTGTCGTACTGGCTCTATAGATCAGGAACTGAGCTGTCACAAGCTGCTGACCGCTCAGCTCACAGCTTCTTCCTGCAGGGAGCGGTGACTGTCCGTCATCACTCCCCACAGGGATTCCCCCCTCCTCTCTCCCTGTTCCTTCAGCGCTCATTGGAGGGACAGATGGGAGGGGGTGGGCATAGCTGGCTCTAGCTCTAGAGAGGCAGAGCCAGCTGTCAATCAGACAGCCGGGTGAATCCCAACAATATTGTCAGGATCTTTCCTGCCTGCAATGCGGCTCTGCACTGTCGGCATATAGTGGACACTTGAATCTGATATTGCTGTCTTGTTTTAACATAAACCTAACAAATTATGAACAAATTCAGGCTAACATTGTTGTCCTCTCTAAAAATGTTAGCTGCCTGGCTGTGATCTTGATACACTGGCTTCAATACTTTAGTCTCTGATCAGTAATAAGTATGCATATATGGGAAGACAGAGAAGGTTAACAGACTTATCTGCTTGTTTGTTTCGGGGCAGTGACTCATTGTATTGAATCAAGAGAGTCAACATGACACTTAGCATTCCAGAAGCAGAAGTTGGCAAGAACAGTCATTACCCCAATATTTCTCTTATGGCAGGTTTCCCTTAACACCACATTGTGTGCCCGTCTCTTCTGTCTAGTTTGCCACTGACCTGAAAAAAGTATAGAAGTTCAGACTTCAGTGGCTGTCTTTCTATTCCAGGTTAGTGACTTTCTAGGTCATGGCACTGGAATTACAAAAACATGCCTACAGTCATCACCATTAAAACTAACAAGTCTGCAGTGGCAGTTAGCTCCCATTATTCTATCCTCACAGATTCACTTAACCCCTTCATGACTGAGGCCCTTTTTTCAATTTTTGCACCCATGTTATATTCCACATTTTAGGCCTGAAAATGACGTAAAACCCCCCAACATTATATATTTTCTGAATGCCAAGACCCTATAGAATAAAATGGTGGTAGTTGAAAATTTTTATGTTGCGCAATATTAGCGCAACTCCTTATTAAACCCCAAAATTTAGTGACAAATTTAATTAAATGCCCCAAAACACAACAAATTACCCATTTTTTAAATGAAATATAAAAGATGAGGTTACAACGAGTAAAACGATACCCAACATGCCCAGTTTACAGATTGCGTGCGACCGTGAAACGGCGAAAAACTGCAGTACCCCAAAAAGTCAATAAAAGACACTTTAAAAGCCCCCACAGGTCATCAATTTAGAAATACCCCAAAATACTGGCCCTTGGATTATTGCTCTCACTCCGGCGTGCGCGGCGATACCCAACATGTGTAGCGCGTTCGTCGTTTTCATGCGTAGGCGCACCCGACGCGTGTTTACGTGGCGAGATCTAAGTCTGAGATCTAAGCACATTTAGGTTTCTAAACTGTTACATTGCTTGACCTTCTCTGTGTATTCTCTGAATATGCTTTGATATAGTTCATTTGAGTTATGCGTTCTCAGCTCTGAGTTTGATATTTAGGATAAAAATTGTCTGCATACCTCTTACTTTTTACTCTCTGTTGCAGGTTTTGTTGAAGAGCAGAGTGTGGAGTTTCATGAGCATATATTCTTGGATAAGTACTTGGAAGACTTTCCGAAGCAGGGACCCATCCGGCATTTCATTGAGCTTGTAGTTTGTGGCCTGTCTAAAAATCCATACTTTACAGTCCAGCAGAAGAAGGAGCACATTGATTGGTTTCGGGATTACTTTAACCAGAAGGAAGATATCCTCAGGGAGTGTGAGGTCTACCTAAACTGAAGGGAATTGGAAGTTGCTGTAGCACCAATAGGTCATTCCGATCAACATTGCCTTACTGGCAGAACTCTGTTCATCCATACAAGAGGAGATGCCATATTATTCCTTCGTTGTTTCCATCTGCTTTAATGATATCAGAATGTTGCTTAGAATGTTGCTTGTTTATTAAACTTTTGTCTTTGCTATAATGTATGTGTCTGTTAAAAATAGGTGTCTGTAAAATGTATGTGTGTGTGTGTACATATAAGTAGGCAATACATTACCTTATCCAAATAAAAGATTATTAGAGGTAGTAGAAGAGCACAATAAGCATACTACTTTTTTTTATTTAATTTTTTTATTGTCTTTGGTGTCCATCATACTGTCACAAGAGAACCAGCATCATGTGAAATGCTGGTTGCCTGACTTGCATACTCGCCCTCTTACTTGTAATACTTAATCACTGACCTGATATAATTTAGAGTGGGGCTTCTCTGACTTTCCCTCATCTCCATGAGGTTAGCAATGGCAGTTCCCACATATATAGCAGGTTTACTTTAATATATGACTTCTGCAAAAATGATGCCAAAATGTAAACAGTTACTTATTACAGGTTGTCAGGGTGAAAATCTGGGAATTGGCATTGCTTACTTGTGTTTAAAATTGCAGGTTCTGGGGGAACTATCCTCATCACAGCTTTACCGCTTAGTGAGTCGCTTACTGACTCATATGCAAGATGAAAGTTGAGAGTTTTCAGGCTTCCCATGAGGCATGCTTAATTCAAGTCAGTGACTGACAGTGTACTGAAGCGGATCACAGCTCTTTAAATTGGACCTTTTAGAGTAGATTACGCAGCACGTACTGTAGGATGTACTTACCTTGAATTCACATGAACTTGTATGGAGAAACAAAAGCAAAGCACATACTGATCTCAGAAAAGGGTGCAGGTCTTGTGAATCTAAAGTAGTTTTAATATCAACAAAAGCTTAAAATTACTTCAGTGTTCAGGCACCTGCCACAAGGTCATCAGGAATGCATTTGCAGTAGTGGAAGTCAGTAGTGGATGACAGCAGTGTGGAAGCAAACCTAGCCTTTGAAGAAAGGGGTACAGTGGCAGGCTCAGCTGAAAACAGCAGTGGTGGAAATAACTGCTAGCAAACCAGCTCCCGCGAACCGAGACCCACTTGAAGATAACGGCAAGCAGCGTCTACAGAGATGGCCTTGAACTGCGAACAAGCAGCAGTACAGCTACATAGTTACATAGTATTTGAGGTTGAATAAAGACATAAGTACATCAAGTCCAACCTATTGTGTGTGTGCATTTATGTTTGAGTTGGTGGGGTTGATTTACTAACCTTATAAACACGCCACAAACAAGTATACACCTCTGTAGTGTGTTCCCTCCCAGCATGATCTATTGGTGGAATCTAGACACCTTTGTAGTGTGTACACACCCAGCAGGTGTGTTGTGCAAAGCCCTGCATGAATTGCAAGGTGATGTGGTATAAATTAGCTCTACATTGTGTTGCATGGTGCGTGCGTGTGTTTAGGTTAGTAAATCACCCCCGGTGTGTGAGTGTGTATTAGTCCATGTATGATTTCGCTCCTAGGAGTACCTGTATCCCTATATATTGTGGTCTCCGAGGAACTAGTCCAGCAGTTTCTTGAATGATTCCACACTCTTAGCTGAAATCACTTCCTGCGGCAGCGAGTTCCAGACCTTAACCGCTCTTACTATGAAGAACCCCTTGCGCCCTGTGTGTTGAAATTTTTTTTCCACCAATTTTTGCTTGTGCCCACTGGTCTTTGTTACGGAGTTAACTGTAAACAGTTTGTTACTAAGGTTGCTGTCACCCTTGAATAGTTTATACAGCAAAATCATGTCCCCCTTAATCTCCTAACCTCCAAAGAGAACATATTTAATTTTAACAACCTTGTTTCATAGCTCAGGTCCTCGAACCCCTTAATGAGTTTGGTTGCCCTCCGCTGGACTTTTTCCAGCTCAAGGACATCTTTCCTGAGTATAGGTGACCAAAACTGGACCGCATACTCCAGATGTGGCCGAACCAGTGATCTGTAAAGTGGCAAAATTATAGACTTGTCGCTGCAATACATTCCCTTCTCAATGCAAGACAGGACTCTGCTTGCTTTGTTTACAGCAGCCTGGCACTGTGAGCTGTTATTCAATCTGCGGTCTATAATGACCCCCAGATCCTTCTCCGTTTCCGACTTCCCTAGCTGCATACTCATGAGTGTATAGTCCATTTGCCTATTTTTAACTCCAAGGTGCATTACCTTACATTTATCTACATTGAACTTCATCTGCCATACAGTTGCCCACTCCCCAAATTTTATCCAAGTCCTCCTGTAATGTTATAATGTCTAAATCTGTCTACTACCCTCCCAATTTTCGTATCATCAACAAACACAGACACGGCTAGTCACTCCCTCCCCGATATCATTAATAAATAGGTTAAAAAGCAGCGGACCCAGCACAGAACCCTGGGGTACGCCACTCATGACCTCCGCCCAGTCTGAAAAGGTGCCATTTACTGATACTCTTTGTGCACGTTCTCGTAGCCAGTTTTCTATTCACGTACACACTAATTCATCTATGCCCATAGCCCTTAGCTTGTATAACAAGCGTTTATGTGGCACCGTATCAAATGCTTTGGAAAAGTCAAGATATACTGCGTCCACCATCCTCCCTCCATCTAGATCTCTACTCACCTCTTCGTAAAAGGTCAGCAGGTTGGTCTGGCAAGAACGATCCTTCCTAAATCCATGCTGATTATCAGTTATTATGCCATGATCTTGGACGAATTCCACTAAGTAGTCCTTGATAATTCCCTCTAACAGTTTACATACTATGCATGTTAGACTAACTGGTCTATAGTTCCCAGGTTGGCATTTTGACCCTTTTTTGAATATAGGTACCACATTAGCCCTTCGCCAGTCGCTTGGCACTCTACCAGCCATTACGGATTCCTTAAAAATTAGGAACAATGGCCTCGTTATCTCCTTGTTCAGTTCCTTGAGTACCTTGGGATGTAGATTATCAGGTCCTAATGCTTTATTTGCATTTAGTAGTTTAAGCCTTTGTTGTATCCCAGTTTCAGTCAACCACTCAGGTGTATTTCTTGTTAAATTTTGTGTTTTATCATTTACATTAAACCCGTCTGCTTCCTCGGTGAATACCGACGAGAAGAAAGTATTTAGCGCCTCGGCCCTCTCCCTGTCGTTTGTGATTAACGTCCCATTTATGTCCTTTATTGGGCCTATCTGTTCCTTTCTCCCCTTTTTACTGTTTATGTACTGATATAATATTTTGGGGTTCTTTTTACTAACTTCGGCAATGTATTTCTCACATTCAATTTTAGCTGCCCGGACTACCAGTTTACATCTTTTATTACATTCTTTGTAGTTTTGGAATGCCAATACTGTCCCCTCCATTTTATACTTGCTAAATGCTTTTTTTTATGTGTTGTTTTACCGTTTTATTTAGCCATATTGGCTTCGTTTTTGATCTTTTACTTTTGTTACCCAGGGGTATGCACCTGGTAATAGCATTTTTTAAATTGTTCTTGAAACAGTCCCACGTTTGGTCAAAGTTTAGTTTATCAAATAAGTTTTCCCATTCGATTTCACCCACTATAATGCGTAGTTTATCAAAGTTTGCCTTCCTGAAGTTTAGGCTTCTCATCCGCCCTTCCCCCCTCCCTTTCTTGCACACAATATTAAAAGCAATCACCTTGTGATCACTATTATCCAGTGTCTCCCCGATTACAATATCCTCGATTAACTCTGTATTATTGCTGATGATCATATCTAGGATGGCATTTTCCCTAGTCGGGACCTCAACCATCTGGTCCATGAAATTGTCTCGCAACATATTAAGAAAACGTGCTGCCCTTGCCGATTTAGAAGTTCCATTAGCCCAGTTGATGCTTGGGTATTTGAAGTCTCCCATTACCACAACATTACCCTGTTTCCCCGCTATTTCTATTTGGGATTGTAGGTGGGCCTCCTCCTCTTTCCCTATATTTTAAGGTTTAAAACAGACACCCACAATATATAAAGCTAGGCAATGCATTTTGAGGTACAACCCCTTAATCCACTAAAGCTGTCTTGGGAAATGGTTTGTACCTTGAAATGCACTCAAAAGGAGCTATAAGGGGAATTAAAAGGTTAGACGATTCTGACAAAAACAGCCGAATGTGGCGATACCTAACCTGTGTAGTGAGATCCTCATTTTCCCATGAAGACGCATCCGACGCGTGAATACGCATGCGCTTGGGGGAGCCTTTAAAAAATGTTTTTGATTATTTTTACATTTATTTTATTTAATATTTTTTAACTGTTTTTTTTTTTTTACTTTAATTGCTATTACATACGGGGGCTTACAAGCCTATGTAATAGCATATTGGTGGTGACAGGTCCTCTTTAAGGTGGCACTAGGGGTCCAAAAGACCCCTAGGGTCACCTTTCCATTTTAAATAAGCTAGTGCAGATGGCACTTCAATAGCTTATGGCTCACCTTCAGGAGCCAAGCAATGACAGCTCAGGGACCGGAAGTGATGTAATGTGCATCGCTCCCAGTCCATTAAAAAAAATGCTGTCAAGAGAGGATGCTTTTCGAAAATAATACAATGTATGGTTTGTTTGTTTTTTGTTCTATAAATTAACCCACAAAGTGCATTAACAGAAAACAACCTAAATCAATATTTGGTGTGTCTATCATTGCTTTTTAAAACAACATCCATTCTCCTAGTTACACCAGCACACAGTTTTTTTAGGGAACTCTCCAGGTAGGCGGTTCCAAATATCTAGAACAGGGGTAGCAAACCTCCGGCCCTCCAGCTGTGGTGAAACTACAAATCCCATGAAGCATCTCTCTTCGGGAGTCATGCCTGTGGCTGTGAGAATCTTGCAATGCCTCATGGGATTTGTAGTTCCACCACAGCTAGAGGGCCAGAGGTTTGCTACCTCTGATCTAGAAGAATTCACCACAGTCCTTCTGTGAATTTAAGCTGTCCCACTTACTGCTGCCTTTTCATGTAATTCTAGACGGAATCAAAGGGCTCTGTTGGGGCCAAACCCTCTATTCCAGAACTCTTTTTTTGCTGAAGGTAATTCTTTGGCTGTGTTTTGGGTCATTGT